CCCCAAAACCCCAAAACCCCAAAACCCCAACAGATAATATAATAGTAATAGATTAAAGATATATAATCCAAACATAAATAATCTTAATTAGGTGTGAATGCAAACTCTTAGACTTTTACCTAAGAGATGTCACAAGCAGTATCTCAGATTAAAATGAGATCGTTTTGAAGCATTTGAGCACTTGATTGACCCTTCTTAGTGTTTTTGTTTTTCCTCACTTCGTTTTTCTTTGCTAATTTATTTGCTCCTTTGCCACCTATGGACTAATGCCACTTGAACTTTTGTTTCTTGAGTCTCTTTCTATCTGAGTTGAGAGGCTCAGCTGGCTCGATCATTCTGCGACGGAAAATTGAGTCGAATCTATCTACAAGCAAGTCTCCTGGTCCTTGTGGTTTAAGTTGTCTCAAGTTAGCAGCCAACTCATCCTCAGTTTGGAATTCGATTTTCTTCATTTGATAGTTGTATTTACCTATTCTAGCTGGTTTACTGACAACACCCACCTTCTCTTGAATTTACTTTTCAACTTGCTTTTCCTTATACCTTTTATCCATTCCCTTTTGAATCTTCTTTTTCTGAATTTGATCTAGCTAGATGTATTGTGGGAGCTTATCTAAACTTTGAACAAATACCTTTTCCTTCTTCTGCTCCTGAATAGCCTTTTTCTTGAGACTCTTAATCAACTTAAGATTCCTCTCAGTCCTGGTGAGTTTATTTCCTCTGTCAACTGGCTTGTTCTGAATCTCAAGACCGTCTTCGTTATCAGAGTTTTCCTCATCAGATTCTTCCTCTGAATCTGGATCATCAATAGTCCTTGCTCTCTTTTTCCCTACTAGTTTAACTTCCTTCTCGTTCTTTTTCTTCTCCTCTTCCTCTTTCTTTTTAGCTTCTTCAAACAAATAGGGTTTGAGTTATCTTAAGATCTTTTCTTGTTCCTTCACTTCCTTGAATTCTTATTCAACTACCTTCTTAATAACTTCCTTATGATCCTTAGCACTTGGATTGTAGCTTTGACCACCAAGTGGGACTACCACTGCTTTAGTTTTGACCTATGTTTTCTAAGCGAATTTCTTGAACTTATCAAAGTTTCTACCTAAACTTTAAGTCTTTACTATAGATCCCTCTGAACCCCATATGTCTTATACTGCACCTTCAATTTCTTCTTCCTTCTTTTTAGGCACTTTCCTTTCTTGCTTATCTAGCAACTTTTTGAGTAGTTTTTATTCAACCTATGATGTATATAGCTTCTCCTTTTCCTTGAACCTATCTCTCTTAAGCTTTTCTCTTTAGTTCTTTAAATCTGTCTTGTTCACATTGACTTTGAAAAGATCGTCATCCTTAAGTGATTTAGCCTCAGTTAAGATATTCTTAGATTTGTTGTGCTAGTGGAGATCATCAAGGAGTTCATCGTGATCAATTGCTTTTTTCCACTGCTTCTTTTTGCTAGTCATATTTAATAATCAAAAGTTTATTATAAACACATCTTCATCTTCCTATTAATCATTGATTATGATTGATGGGGTTTTGGGGTTTTGGGGTTTTGGGG